TTCTGCCTCCTGCTGGCTGTGGAAGTGTTTTCCCTGCAGAAAGTTGCAAAGATGCTTGAAGAAGTAGTAGTTGGTTGGTGAGAGCTCAGGTGAATATGGCAAATGAGGCAAAACTTCCTAGGCCAATTTGTTCAACTTTTGCAGCATTGGTTGTGTGATGTGTGGTCACGCGTCATTGCGGAGAACTGGGCCCTTTCTGTTGACCAATGCCGGTTGCAGTTTTCGGTGCATCTGGTCAATTTGATGAGCATACTTTCTCACATGTGACTGTTTCACTGGAAATTAGAGCTCTATAGTGGATCAGTCTGGCAGCAGACTGCCAAAGAGTGACCATGACTTTTTTTGGTGCAAGTTTGGCTTTGGGAAGTGCTTTGGAGCTTCTTCATCCAACCACTGAGCCGGTTATCACCGGTTATTGTATAAAATCCACTTTTCATCGCACATCACAATCTGATCAAGAAATGGTTCGTTGTTGTTGTGTAGAATAAGAGAAGACAACACTTCAAAACTAAGTTTTTTTTTAATTTTTGGTCAGTTCATGGGGCACCCACTTATCAAGCTTTTTCACCTTTCCAATTTTGTTCAAATGTTGAATGACCATAGAATGGTCAATGTTGAATTCTTAGGCAACTTCTCATGTAGTTGTATGAGGGTTAGCTTCAATGATCTTCTCAATGGGTTGTTGTCAATTTCCGACAGCCATCTTGCTGCTCATCTTCAAGGCTCTTGTCTCCTTTGCAAAACTTCTTGAACCACCACTGCACTGCACATTCATTAGCACTTCCTGGATCAAATGTATTGTTGATGTTGCAGGTTGTCTCCTCTGCTTTACAACCCGTTTTGAACTTGAATAAGAAAATTGTTCGAATTTGCTTTTTGTGTAACATATTTCCTTAGTCTAAAATAAATATAAAATAAACTGCAAGTAATAAATCATTAGCAAAAACCATAAAGTGAGAAATGCACATTAAAATACTGTAAAACATAACTATATTTAAGAATGTATTCCAATATCAAATGGCAAAGTCCAACAATGTAAAACCTCGATTACTTTTGCACCAACATAATACCAGTTGAAAGTGAAAGTCGCTCAGTCGTGTCCGACTCTTTATGACCCCATGGACTATACAGTCCATGGAATTCTCCAGGCCAAAATACTGGAGTGGATAGCCTTTCCCTTCTCCAGGATAGATGGATAAGTGGATAAATAAATAAACATTTGTTGCATGACTGAGTGATTGAGTGAGTCTCCTAAATGGCACCAGAGTGAGTCTGTGCTGTGATTCCTGTCAAGCTGCTCTACCCACTTGCAGGGCTGGTGAGAGTCAGGGTCTACTGTGGCCTAAAATCCCACCGCAGCTGCCTGCCCACATCTCCTCTAATACCTGCTCCATTTGTAACTCTTTTCCATTAAAAAAAAGGAACAGACTCACTCTTTTTTTATATAGAACACACATTCTCTCTCTCTCTCAACCTGAAGTCTCTGTTCAGCCTATAATTACATCGCCTACTTTTATATTCTTAATATAGTACGATTTGGCTTTAGGTGTTATTTTCACCCCTTCAACTGCTTACCCCACTGCAATCTCAGACCCAACATGCCCAAACTGAACTCACCTGGTCCCTGCACAGAAACGGGGTTTGTCTGCAGTTGCTCCAGAAGCATCCTGGCCGCCTCTTTTCTTTGATCACCTCCCGTCATTTCTTTGATCTGCTCACCATTCTCTAAAGCGTGTATCCCTCTCCTTCCCCATGGCCAGCACCCCACACTAAGCACCAGCTTCTCTCACCTGGACCAGTTTCCTGCAGGGTCCTCCGCCGTCTCTGCAATGGTCTGTTATCACTTGCATATGATCACTGCCCTGATCTAGAACGTTGACAACTCCCCAGATCTCCTGGGATGATGCCCCCGGGCTCTACAAGGCCTGCTCCCTGCCTCTGCAAACTCCCCTTGCTGCAGAGTTGCTGCCCCCGTTCTCTGTGCTTCTGTCCCTCTGGCCTCCTCTGCACCCCTCCGAAATGCCAACTCCTCCCTGACTCCACGTCTCTGCACATGCTATTCCCTCTGCAAGGAGTGGCCTTCAACTCCCACCTGGCCTGGTAACTCTAGTCATCCTTGGTCTGAATGTAAATGTCACCTCCTTTGGGAGGGCTTCCTCGACTCTGGACAAGCCCGTGCCACCCATTTTATGCTCCCATTGTGCACTGTTCTTTTCCTTCTTGACACTTCTCAAAACCATGAAGTAGTTATTTGTATAATTGGTTGCTCAGTGTCTATCTTCCCTATTAGATATCTAGCTCTATGAGGCAAAAAGCCCATTTATTATAATAATAACAGCTACCATATATACAACCCTTCCTATGTTCTGCATACTGTCCTAAGCACTTTACATTTACCATCTCGTTTAGTCCACATAGTAATCCTTTTAAGATAGATATTATAATTTCCCCTGTTTTAAGAATGAGGCAACTGAGACACAGAGAGGTCAAGTAACTCGCCCAGGAAGCACAGCTAGTAAATGATGGAAATAGGATTTGAAGCTGATCTGAGCTGTTCCAGGGTTTTTGCTTTTTCCCACTTCCCTTTCTGCCTTCCATGTCTGTCTTATTTCCCATCATATTCCCAGAACTCAGCATAGAGCATATAATAGGTGTTCCATAAATAATGGTTGGGTTATGAATAAACATGTATTTACTGAGTATCTATACTAAGTGCAAAATACTGGAGAAATTTTTTAAACTATATGGATCCTACCTTCACCAAGTTTTATTATTGTTTTTCAGTCATAAGTTGTGTCCGACTCTTTGCGACCCAATGGACTCAGCACGCCGGACTTTGCTGTCCTTCACTTATCTCCCAGAGTTTGCTCAAATTCATGACCATTGAGTCTGTGATGCTACCTAACCATCTCATCCTCTGCTGCTTCCTTCTCCTCTTGCCTTCAATCTTTCTCAACATCAGGGTCTTATCCAATGGGTCAGATCTTCGCATCAAGTGGCCAAAGTATTGGAGCTTCAGCTTCAGTATCAGTCCTTCTAATGGATTTTCAGGACTGATTTCCTTTAGGATTGATTGGTTTGATTTCCTTGCAGTCCAAGGGACTCTCAAGAGTCTTCTCCAGCACCACAATTTGAAAGCATTAGTTCTTTGGTGCTCAGCCTTCTTTATGGTCCAAATCTCACATCCATACATGACTACTGGAAAAACCAGAATTTTGACTAGACAGATGTTTGTTGGCAAAGTAATGTCTCTGCTTTTTAATATGCTGTCTCGGTTTGTCATAGCTTTTCTTCCAAGGAGCAAGCATCTTTTGATTTCATGGCTGCAGTCACCATCTGCAGTGATTTTGGAGCCCAAGAAAATAAAATCTATCACTGTTTCCATCTTTTCCCCTTCTATTTGCCATGCAGTGATGGGACCAGATGCCATGATCTTAGTTTTTTGAATGTTGAGTTTCAAGCCAGCTTTTCCACTCTCGTCTTTCACCCTCATCAAGAGGCCCTTTAGTTCCTCTTTGCTTTCTGCCATAAGACTGGTATCATCTGCATATCTGAGATTGTTGCTATTTCTCCTGGCAATCCTGATTCTGCTTGTGATTCATCCAGCATTTTGTAAGATGTACTCTGCATAGAAGTTAAATACTCTAAAAGCCTGAGGAAAAGAGATCTTTATTGATGGGGGCATATAGAAAAGTTTCTTAGAGTGGTGGTGAGTGTTTCTTAGTGGTGCTTTTGGATGATCCTCGGAGAACAGAGACCAGCTACAAGTTATACTGGTTTGTGGGCAGGCAAAACAGGGAGACAGAGAATGGGGAGGTGAGCGAGGGTGAGGGCTGGCAGCCTGCAGGGGTACCCATGGGCCTGGGTGGAAGGGTGAGCCTAGGAGCCGTACACAGAGCTGAGGGAGCTCAGAGGATGAGGGGAGGTCTCCATCTGGGCCGCCAGAGATTAGTGAACCCACGCTAGGAGGGAGAACTCTGTGAGAAGCCAAACAGAGCTACCCAGAGCTTGCAGGCAGGAAATTCACAAAGGGTCTTCAGGAAACAAAAGCACATTCTGTGGGATATTTATAGGGTTCCACCGTCAAACTCATTTGGAAAATTCTGGTTTGAACAAGGTTAAATAGAAATCTTTCCTGCAGGTTTTCTCAGAATTCTTCATATGTTAAAATGCACTGAGTCTGCAAGACAGGGATATTATATACAATGTGTCAGAACATGGTTGCAGACCATTTATTAACTTGACAACACATTATTTATAAAGAAGTGGCAGGAAAGTGGGCAGGAAAAATAGCATGGGTGTCTCAGATGCCAAGCTAGGAATTTTGCCCTCTGTCCTTGTCTTAGAGGCCATTAGAAGAGTAAACGATTTTTAACAGGATGAGAGTTGGGAGGGTGCCTCTGATGCTAGTGTAAGGAAACTACCATTTATTGTCCACTTGCCAAGTTCCAGCAACTGTGCTGGCATTTTATATACATATGTATTTTATTATTATTTTAATTAATTAATTAATTTTTGGCTGCACTGGGTCTTCGATGCTGTGCATGGGCTTTCTCTCCTTGCAGCAAGTGGGGGCTACTCTCTCTTGCTGTGAAGCACGGACTCTAGAACACAGGCTCCATAGTAACTAAGGCTTAGTTACTCCACAGTATGCAGAATCTTCCCCCACCAGGGATGGAACCCGTGTCCTCTGCATTGGCAGATGGAGTCTTAACCACTAGACCACCAGGGGAGACCCACCTGTATATTTAATCTTTACAACTCTGTGAATTTCCGAGCTATTTTCCTTACTTTAAAATTGAGGAAACTGAGGCTCAGAGAGGCGGTTGAACCAGCAGCCCACACCTAGTGAGGGGAGAGCAGTTCTTGAATCCAAGTCTGCCAGAGAGCAAAGAGGTGAGCCCAAGCCGGGGCAGGATGCCACGGGCATGCGCACTGAGACCTTCTGAGCAGCATCATCCTCTCCCTGCACCGACACCCGGCAGCGGTCCGCCACCAACATGCTGGGTGAGCTGGCCAGGTCAGGACACCTCTGAGCCTCTGTCCCCTCGTGTGTCCCCAAGATGATTGCTCCTGTTCCTCCCAGCTCTGCTCCCCTCCTCAGAACTCTTATCCACACAGCCATGCAGAGTAGAATCCCTGATCTGATCCTTGTTATGGAACCTGGGGGATTATCACATACCTGAGAGACCAGCCTCACCTCACAGCCCACACAACTTGATAAGAGTTCAGTTCATGTGTATTTACTATCCTGAGAGCTGCGGTCTGTGGTCTATGAGGCAGAAACTGCTGTGGGTCTGCATTTTTTCAATACAGAGCTTTGCCCCAGGCCTTGCCCTGGTTGAGGTTTGATCAGACATGTCCACATCAACAGTCCATCTCCTGCTCAGCCTGTTTTGCTGCCTCCCATGGAAGCCCACTGGAGATGGAAATGGCAAACCACTCCAGTATTCTTGCCTGAAGAATCCCATGGACAGAGGAGCCTGACAAGGCTACGATCCATAGGGTCGCAAAAGACTAGGATACAACTGAGAGACAAAACAACAACCATGGAAGCCCACAGTTCAGGGCTGGAGCCCATGCTTCCAGAGTAGGGATGGAGAGAGGGGAGGGAGGGAGGGGGAACTAAATGACTCATCAGACCTGGGTATGATCCTTGGTCCTGACACCTATTCCTGTGTTACACAGTGCAAATGAGTTTGCCACCCTGCATCTCACTTCTCTCGTCTGTAAGTTAGCCCTAGTTGTTATCCCAGAGTTGTTGGGAGGATGAAGGTTCCCCAAAACACCCTCCCCCTTCTCATGCCCACTTCCAAGGCTTCAATGAATGTTGCCCAAACAAATGAATAAGTAAATAAAATGATTTAAGCTCTGGTGTCAGAGGTGTGGCTCAGTGGTAAAGAATCCACCTGCAAAGCGGGAGACTCAGGAGATGTGGGTTCAATCCCTGGGTCAGGAATATCCCCTGGAGAAGGAAATGGCAACCCACTCCAGTATTCTTGCCTGGGAAATCCCATGGACAGAGGAACCTGGCGGGCTACAGTCCATGGGATCAGAGTCAGCCACGACTGAAGTGACTTAGCAAGTGTGCATGTCAGTGGTGTGCTGTTTTGTGTGCCTTTACATGACCTGCATGATAATGATAAAGCCTAGCATTTATTAAGCATATAAAAGGCTCTAGGAACTTTTCTGAGTGTTTTATAGTCTGCAGCTGTTATGGATCAGTTAGGATTTGAACATCAGCTCCATGGCCCATGCTGTTCACCCTCCACTGTTTCATTCAGGAGGCTTAGTATTAATATAAGCCACTGTGTATTAGACTGTGAAATCCCAGGGGTCATGAACCAACTGTGCTTTCTGCAGGGTCCAGGAGTCAGCTTAGGCTTAGCTGTGAGTGAGTTACAATGGATCTACCCATTCATTTATTCATTCATTCTTTCAGTATCTACTGAGCACCTGTGATATGTCAGGCACTGTTCTAGGAGTTGGGGCTATAGCAATGAAGAAGGCAGAGAAGACCCGTTTCCATGACATCTATGTTCTAGTGGGGATTCAGGTACAAACTAGGGAAACAAATGTACAAGCAAGAAATGCATCAGCCAATGATTCTTGCAGAGAGTTTAAATATGATTATATGGCAAACAGTGACTGGGTGGCTGCTTTTGATGGGTGGTCAGAGAAAGATTCTCTAAGGAGGAGACCTTTTAGCTAAGACCTGAATGATAAGAGGTGACCAGTCATCTGAAGACCAGGGGCAAAAGCATTCAGACAGAGGGAACAGCAAGTGCAAGGGCCTTGAGACGGACACAGAGTGAGTGTGTCTGGAGAACAGAGAGAAGCCAAGGGAACAGTGAGAGGGGCTGTATCCTGAAGGTTTCATGAGCCAAAGGGAGGAGTTTTTTTGTTTTCCATCATTTACTCTTTTGTCCCAAGGTGTAACAGAAGCAGTTAGAGGGTTTTAAACAGGGAAGTGGCATGATTTGATTTGTTTTTCATTAATAGGCTTTATTTTTTTTAGTGTCGTTTCAGGTTTACAGAAAAATTGAGTGGAAAGTACAAAGCATTCTCATATACCCTTTCGTCCCCAACTCACTCACCCACTGTGCACATACACACTTTCCCCTACTGTTAGCATCTTGTATTACTGTGATACATTTGCTATAATTAATGAGCCAGTACTGATACATGATTTTTAACTGAAGCCCATCTTTACATTCCGGTGTACTCTGTGCTGCACCTGGGTCTTGAAAAATATGTAATGAATGGCATATTTTCACCATCAGAGTCTCACACGGAATAATTATATGGCGCAAAAAGTCCCCTGTGCTCTACCTATTCATCTCTCCCCTCCAGCAAAACCCCAGCAACCACTGACCTTTTTACTGAGTTTTGCCTTCCCCAGAATGTCATGTAGTTAAAATCATACAGTATGTAGCCTTTTCAAACTGGCTTCTTTCACTTGATCTGATTTTTTTTTTTTTTTTAAAGATCATGTGGGCTAGTTTTCAGAGAACAGATTGAAAGGGGACAAAAATAACAGCAGGCAGGTCAGCTAGGAGGTAAAGCAGGTGGGTCTAGGGGCTCAGACAAGCGGGTGACCAAGCTAGTGTGCAAAAGTGCACGGACTGGGATACCCATGAGGTCTGGCTCTTGGGAGCTGCCAGTAGTAGACGGACTGCAGAGGGAGGTTCAGGGAAGAAAAGACTGAGGATTTAACCCGCAAGGGTTAAATCGGGTTGTAATGGCGTAGATACCTTGGATGGCGGCCTTCCAGCCTCTACTTGCCAAACTCCATCATCAGCTGCTAGCTCCTGGTCCTCCAGCGACTTTTAAGTATTTTCTCTGCTCAGAGGTCTCTTTGTTGCATAATCAATAAACCACTAACAGATGTAAGAGGCTTCCAGATTTATACACTGCTGATCTCCTGCCTGGAAAACCACCCATTTTGTCCTCCCTAAAACCCTCCTGGCTTCTCATACTGCCTGGGGGAAAATCCACCTGCAATTGAATCTCAACAAAACTCATCCTGATCTTGAATCAGTTCAGCTTATTTTGGTCTCAAGTAGCTACTTTAAGCCAAAAAAAAAAAAAAATAGATAGAGGGCAGCTTGATGGCTTTCTTGGGAGGCTTGCAGAGGTCCCTTGCAGATGGAAAGGACAAGGAGTTGAATAAACGATCAATAGGAAGGGCAGGTCCAGGATGCAGTGGGAGCTGCTGCCTTCAGGGGACAGGGTGGCTGTGACTCCAGATCCCCTGTCTCTCCACTCCATTCACGCTCCCAGAAGGCAATGGGTGCTCCTGGCTTGAGTCAGGCGTACTGCGCACCCCAGGTCAGATCAGTCAGATCTTGGTGCAGGGGGCACACTTTGCTTCGTGGAACAAACAGGGCAAACACCTCATGGGAGATGGAGCTGCTAACATTCTCCCAGTCAGTGTTGGCTACCCTGTCCTCAGTAATCCCATCACTCATCACAGCCCTGCTCAGACTTTTGCCATCATTTCTTGACGTGTGTTTCTCTTCCACTAGCAGTGGTTTCTTCATGATCTCTATTAAATCATGGCCTTAACTTACTTAGCTTGACATCCCACAGCAGACGTCCCCCAGTAGCTGTTCCCCCAGTTCCCTTCTACATTAGCTAGAATTTTTAGCTAGCCTCGTAGTAATGGCATGTTCCATCTACCTGGCCACTAGGGGTGAGCAAGTGACAAAGTTCTGACTACTGCACAAGAATGGAGGGCATGGACAACTTCCAGACTCACCTCTTCTGGGAAGAATAAAGCCCTCCCCTCCCCATCCTGGTTCTGTTGGTTGGAATGTGGACCCAGTGGTGTGCCCTATTGGACCATGTAGAAATGAGTAACTTCCTTGAAATAGCAGAGTCACCAGATAGAGAGATCTGGGGTCCCTGACACCCTGAAACTGTCACATCAGCTTTGAACTGCTTGCTCAGTCGCTTCAGTCGTGTCCGACTCTTTGTGACCTTATGGACTGTAGCCCATCAGTCTCCTCTGTCCATGGGATTCTCCAGGCAAGAATATCGGAGTGAGTTGCCATGCCTTCCTCCAGGGGACCTTCCTGACCAAAGGTTTGAACCCATGTCTCCTGTGTCTCCTGCATTGCAGGCGGATTCTTTACTGCTGAGCCACGGGGGAAACCATTGAACTGCTTACCCTCAGAATATTCCAAGAGGCAATAAAACCTCTTTTCTCTTTAAGCTTTCCTGCAGCCCAATATAACCCACACTAATAACCACACTTAACATGGTGACTGACACTTAGTAAGTGTTCAATAAATTATGGTTGTTGAATTATTAATTCACTTGCAAAAAGAGAAACCCTCATTTCCAGCATTTAACACATCAACTGTTTGCATACTCCCTCTGTGCTCTTCTCTACATGCAGTTGATATTTTTAGTAGAGGTATAATTAGAGCAAAAGTAGAATTTTATATCCATCCTTTTCCCTTTAATAGTAATTGCATAATAAACATTTTCCATGTTAAGTCATATTATCATCATTTTAAATGAGTGTGTAATTTTCTACCAAAGATCAACCATAATTTACTTGACCACTCCCTTACTGTTTGATGTATGCATTTTTTCTATTTTTTATAATTACAGAGAATGTTGCAAGAAAGTTGCTTACAACTCTAGTTTTTGCCCCTTAGTTTTGACAGTTTCCTTGAGAATGAGATTGTTGCCTTTTCTCATATCTTTGAACACCCTCTGTCTTCATCAGCCACTCTCAGACTTTATAATTTCCAGTTTGATTCTGAACGATGATCATGATGCGAATAATAATTACAATAGCAAAGAGTATCCATTTTTGAGTGTGGACTACGTCGCTGTGCCAGGCTGGGCACCTGCCATAAGTATGTATCCTCACATCTATCTGGGCTTCCCCAGAGGCTCAGCGGGTGAAGAATCCACCTGCAGTGCAGGAGACCCTGGTTCAACTCCTGGGTCGGGAAGATCCCCTGGAGGAGGACATGGCAACCTACCGCAGTATTCTTGTCTGAAAAATCCCATGGATAGAGGAGCCTGGTGGGCTGCAGTCCATGGGGCCTCGAAAGAGTGATACTCGAGTGAGCAATTGAGCACACACATCTATATGCTCTTGATCACGTGCTTAGTACATCCCAGGTAAGGGGAATGGTGGTGAAAAGCTCAAATCCTAGAGTCAGATTGGATTCAAGTCTCAGCAAGACTGCTTCCTACCTGTGAGATCTTGGGTCAATTACTTCACCTCTCTGTGCCTCCATTTTCTCATCTATAAAATGGGGTTTTATAGATGAGAAATCTTTCTACAAGGTTGCTGTGAGGATTAAATGAGATAGCAATAACAGCTGGCATTTTGGGGCTGCTTCCTAGGTGCCAAGCACAGTGCATTAGTGACCTCATGCGTGCTTTGCCAGAACCTAGGACGTAAGTGCTTCAGCTCCATTTTGCAGATGAGGTACCTGAAGCTCAGAGCACAGACACACTGCAGAGAGCGGAGTGAATCTCACACAAGTTAGTCACTGACCTCAAAACTCCAAAGAATTAACTCAGAATTTACCTTCCGAAAAGATTATTCTTTTTAACAAATTTTAACGACATATTGTTAATTTCTGCTGTACAGCAAAATGACTCCATTATATGTGTAAATATGTATTCTTTTTCATATTCTATTCCATTATAATTTATCACAAGATGCTGAATATAGTTCCCTGTGCTGTACAGTAGGACATTATTGTTTATCCATCCTACATATAATAGTCTGCATCTGCTAATCCCAAACTCCCAACCCTTCCCTTCCCTATCCACCCTCGCCCCCTTGGCAACCTCAAGTCTGTTCTCTATAATTGTGTCTGTTTTTGTTTCATAGATATGTCAGTTTGTCTCATATTTTAGATTCCACAGGTAAATGATATCACATGGTACTTGTCTACCTCTTTCTGACTTACTTTGCTTCGTATGGTAATCTCTAGGTCCATCCACCTTGCTGCAGATGTCATTTTTTTCATTCTTTTTAATGGCTGAGTAGTATTCCATTGCATGTGTGTATGTACGTATGTGGGCTTCCCTGGTAGTTCAGCTGGTAAAGAATCTGCCTGCAATGTAAGAGACTCGGGTTCAACCCCTGGGTTGGGAAGGTCCCCTGGAGGAGGGCATGGTAACCCACTCCAGTAATCTTGCCTGAAGAATCCCCAAGGACAGAGGTGTCTGGCGGTCTACAGTCCATGGGGTCACAAAGAGTCAGACATGACTGAGCGACTAAGCACACACACACGCATGCATGTATATACACATACACACACATGCACACGAGCAACTAAACACACATGTATGTATACATACACACATACACACACATGCACATGAGTGACTAAACACACACGTGTGTGTATACATACACACACATGCACATGAGCAACTAAACACACATGTGTGTATACATAAATACACACATACACATGCACATGGGCATCTAAACACACATATGTGTGTATACATACATACATACACACATACATATGCACATGAGCAACTAAACACACACGTATGTATATATGCATACATACATGTGCACATGAATGACTAAACACACACATGTGTGTATATACACACATGTATGTATGTATACACACAGGCACACGAGTGACTAAGCACACACATGTATGTATAGATACACACATGCACACGAGCAACTAAACACACATATATGTATATATACATACATACATACACATGTCTATATATTATGCATGTTTGTGTGCTAAGTCATTTCAGTCATGTCTGACTCTTTGCATCCCCATGGACTGTAGACCGCCAGGCTCCTCTGTCCTTGGGGATTCTCCAGGCAAGATTACTGGAGTGGGTTGCTATGCCCTCCTCCAGGGGACCTTCCCAACCCAGGGGTTGAACTCGAGTCTCTGGCATCTTCTGCTTTGGCAGGCTGGTTCTTTATCACTAGCATCACCTGGGAAACCATATATATTTATATGTGTAAACCACATCTTCTTTATTCATCTGTTAATAGACGTTTCGGTTGTTTCCATGTCTTGGCTATTAAACAGTGCTCCTATGAACAAGGGCGGGGCGTGCATGCATCTTTTTGAATTATAGTTTTGTCCAGCTATATGCCCAGAAGTGGGATTGCTGGATTATATGGCAACTCTATTTTTAATTTTTGGAGGAACCTCCATACTGTTTTCCATAGTGGCTGCACCAGTTTACATTCCCACCAACAGGAATTGTTCTCTTTACTGTGCTCATCAATCCAGAGCCAGAGCCTCAAAAGTCCAGCTTTTCCAGAATAACCTCTGTCCCTGCCCTGGTCCCCACCAACCCCACACCATGCAGCCTTCATCTCAGGCCACCTGAGCAGTTCAGGGTCTTTTTCATGGTTGCCACTGCAGCGTGGAATACCCCAGACGCTCAGTTTTGGACAATAGTGAAGTGAAGTGGCTCAGTCGTGTCTGACTCTTCACGACCCCATGGACTGTAGCCGAACAGGCTCCTCTGTCCACGGGATTCTCCAGGCAAGAATACTGGAGTGGGTTGCCATTTCCTTCTCCAGGGGATCTTCCTGATCCAGGGATCAAACCCAGGTCTCCCGCATTTCAGGCAGACACTTTAACCTCTGAACCACCACTAAGTGCTTCCTCTGGGCCAGACTTCTGTGCTTTATGTCATTATCTCACTTAATCCTCAAAACAGTCCTAGAACATAAATACTTAATCCCTATTTTACGGGTAGGAAACCCAGGCTCAGCTGATAACGTGAATTGCCCAGGATCACAGGGCTAATGGATTCAAGAGCTGAGAGTAGAAGCCAGGCTGGGAAAGAAAAGCCTGGCATCTTGCTGTCCTCACCCACCATACTTGCCTGGACTGGTGGGGGCCGGCATGGTGCTGTGATGGTCCCAGGCTGCTGCTGCCTGTCCCAGAGGGTGCCGGCACTGTGCCCACCAGAGCCACCTGGCCTTCGAGGCCCAAGGCACAAAGGCAGGGCCAGGAGCCAGCATCGAGCTGTTAGATGAGGTTTCTGCATCACCCTTGAAATAGCCTGCTCTCCAGCTTTTGCTCTGAGTGGCGGCAGCGGATCCCAGAATAGTTCTTTCCCACTGCAAGGTGACCTAGTTAACAGGTTCCTCTTGTCATGTGAGGCTGGCTGAACAAGACATTCCCTGGCCTCTCTCTGCCCAGAGAAAGCCGGACCCAGCGATTCCCTATCCCCCTTCCCCTGGTGCTGCTCCTGATTCTCCTGCTGTCCACTCATCCTGGATGTTTGGGAAGTGGGTATTACATCCTGAGCGTGGTGCTTCATGGCCTCAACACAGGTTCACAAACATCAGAGTTCCTTCTCACAGCAGGCAGGGGAGAACTTATCCCATTTCACAGCAAAGGAGATGAAGGCACAGAGTAGGTAAGCAAAGTGAGCAAGGACACACAGCTGGCAGGGGGCAGAGTCCACCTTCCTCACCTGCCCACTGCCTGGAACGGGGCTCCCAAACACCTGGAGGTGGAATCGAGCTACAGAGGTTGAGATCAAGGACTTTGAGATCCACCAGATCAGGGTTGAGGCTGGGGTTTGAATGGCAGCATTTATCAATAAGACCTCAGCCGAGTTTCTTCACCTGTCAGAGACTCAGTATCTGAGTCTTTAAAATGGGAATAATAATCACATCTGCATTATGAGTTATTATGAGGAATGGGTGAGGCAGTGTACATGAAATACCCAACAGATTCTTCTCACTTTGCACTTTCTTGATGAAGCAGCTACTATTGTTGTTTATTATTATTATTACTGACATCCCAAATTTAAACAAAAAGGAAAAGTTTAAGGCTGGTTGGTGCCAGTTGAAAAGTTATTGTAGCAAAGGCCTTCATGATTTTCCCCACACCATCATGCCACGTGCCTAGGAGCAATGGTTGTATTTACAATAACCCAACTCTAGGATTGGCAACTTTTTCACACCCCTGGGCCCTGGTTCTGCTGAATGAGCCTGACTGAGTGACCCTGGGTGAGGGTGTTGGTTAGATCGAGGTCTTTCCCGGCCTCTCATGGCAGGAATCCATCATAGGAAGGGAGAGAGCTGTAGGGGACTGTGGACCAGTAAGAATGGAGCTGGACTCCTGGGGCCAGATGCTATCCATTCAAACCCTGCCCCCACCACTCCGTCAAAGTCAGGCCTCAGATAAGTGACTGAACCTCTCTGAGGCTCCATTTACCTATCTGTGGGAAAAGGAGCATAACATGAACCTCACGGGGAACTGGTGAGGGTTGGATGAGTCACCCATGTGCAGTACCAGCTCGGAGCCAGTGCTGAGTCACTGTTTGAGAATCTGAACTTGGAGAGTCTAGACAATCAAGCCCCAAGCCCAGAGGTACCTTCTTAAGAAATTGGAAGAAGGGACTTCCTTGGTGGTCCAGTGGTTAAGAATCTGCCTTGCAATGCAGGGAATACAGGTTCAATCCCTGGTCAGGGAACTAAGATCCCACATGCCAAGGAGCAGCTAAGCCTGTAAGCTGCAGAAACCAAGCCCACACGCTCTGGAGTCCATCCACTGCAACGAAAGATCCTGCACGATGCAGCGAAGATCCTGTGTGCCACAACTAAGACCCAATGCAGCCAAATAAATACACTTTTTTTTTTAATTGAAAGAGATGATTTCAGTCTGGAGGAAACAAGGAAGGCTCCAGAATGATAGTGAGATTGGCACTTGGTCCTAAAAGCCAAACGTGACTGAGATGTCTGGAGAGGCTCAGGGAGGGCATTTCAGGCAGACTACCCTCAGGACACAGCCTAGGGGAAGGGGTGAGCACGACACAGCAGCTTACCCTTGCACGTTGCACAAGACTGCAGCTCTTCACGGGGGCCCTTCCT